TCTAGATCATCCCTAGCCTGCTCTTAAATGTCTCCAGAGATGGAGATTCCACAACCTCCGCAGGGAATTTATTCCGATGTTTAACCACTTTGACAGGCAGGAGGTTTTTCCTAATGTCCAATCTATCCCTTCCTTGCATCAGTTCAAGCTCATTGCTTCTTGTCCTGTCCTCAGAGGCCAAGGAGAACAATTTCCGTCCCGCCTCCCTGTGATACCCTTTTCGATACCTGAAAACCACTATCATGGCCCCTCTCAGTCTTCTTTTCAAAACTATACAAGCCCAATTCCTTCAGCCTTGCCACATAGCCCATTTTTTTGGACCTTTAATCATTTTGGTTGCTCTTCTCTGGACCGTCTCCAGTTTCTCCACAGCTTTTTGAGGCCTAATCAGCGCAGAGTAGCGTGGAAGAATGGCTTCTCAGGTCTTGCTCACAACACTCCTGTTAAGGCATCCTAGAACATATTTGCTTTTTTTGCAACAGTGCCACAATGCTAAAGCATATTTAGTTTGCGGTCCCCTATGACCCGTAGATCCCTTTCTGCCGTACTCCTTCCTAGACAGCCACTTCCCATTCTGTATGGCTGTGTCTACACTGGCATGAATTTCCAGAAATGCTTAAAACGGAATACTATTCTGTTTTCAGTTTTTCCGGAAAAGGAGCGTCTACATTGGCAGAATGCTTTTCCAGAAAAGCCCTTTTTCCAGAAAAGCGTCTGTGGCCAATGTAGACGCGCTTTTCCGGAAAAGAGTCCCGATCGCCATTTTCGCGATCGGGCTTTTTTCTGGAAAAGACTACTGGGCTGTCTATACTGGCCCTTTTCCGGAACAGTGTTCCAGAATAAGGACTTATGCCCGAGCGGAAGCAGAATAGTTTTTCCGGAATAGTGGCTGATTTTGTACAGTAGAGCATCGTTGCTTTTCCGGAAATTCAAGGGCCAGTGTAGACAGCTCGCAGCTTATTCCGGAAAAGCGGCTGATTTTCCGGAATAAGTGGCCCAGTGTAGACACAGCCTAGGTGTGAAACTGATCATTCCTTCCTAAGTGGAGAACTTTGCATTTGTCCTTATTAAACTTCATTCTATTTACCTCAGTCCATTTCTCATTTGTCCAGATATTTTTGAATTATGACCCTGTCCTCCAAAGCACTTGCAACCCCTCCCAGCTTGTATCATCTTCAAACTTAATGGCTGTGTCTACACTGGCCACTTATTCCGGAAAATCAGCCGCTTTTCCAGAAGAACTTGCCAGCTGTCTACACTGGACCCTTGAATTTCCGGAAAAGCACTGACGATCTACTGTAAAATCATCAGTGCTTTTCCAGAAAACTATGCTGCTCCCGTTCGGGCAAAAGTCCTTTTCTGGAAAACTGTTCTGGAAAAGGGCCAGTGTAGACAGCACAGATTTCTTTTCCGCAAAAATGCCCTGATCGTGAAAATGACAATTGGGGCTTTTTTGCGGAAAAGCGCGTGTACATTGGCACGGATGCTTTTCCGGCTTCTTCTTTGTCAACAGAACTGGGTCCCTGCGTCCACACTTACCTTTTGTCAGCAGAACTCTGTCAACAAAGGCGTTATTCCTCGTAAAAGGTTTACCGCTGTCGACAAAACTGCTGCGTTCTGTCGACTTACTGTCGACATAACGCGGTGGTAGTGTAGACGCAGCTATAGTTTTGTCAACAAAAGTCCACTTTTGTTGACAAAACCCTGTCGTCTAGACACACCCATAGTGACCTGGGTGTGTGGCTGGTCCTTTGGGTTTGGAAGAACCTTTTATTTGGGAGGACATTGAAGGCTCAGCCCCAGCCGTAAGGCTGGGAGAGGGAAACCCGGGGAAGACGGGAGTGCACATCCATCCCAATAGCCACTAGAAATGAGTGGCAGGCATTTACATCTCCTACACTGACAGAAATGATTTTTCCCCCCACTGTTCTAATTAACCCATCTCTCTGTGCAGCTGTAGCCAAGTCAACACCAGAATTCCACTGTCTGCGCGGGGTGTCAGGTCGATCTAGCTGTGACAATTACGACAAGTTTTTTCACAGCCCTGAGTGATGCTGCGAGTTTGATCTAAGTGTAAGAGTGGAGTAGGTCTCAGAAGGGTTTCCCTGGAGCTGGCTGGGGACACAGGGAGAGAGAGACCAGTTGGCAGCTTGTGTGTGTGAGGCAGAGAGCCAAGGGAAATAGTTGTGCATGTGATCTGGCAAGAGCCTGAGACACAGCTGGCTTCAGGCCCAGGGTTTCCTGGAAAGCGGAGGTGAAGCGCCGTGTGAAGAAACTTCCAGGAGTTGCCTTTCTCCCATATTCAGAAGACAGGAATCTGCGGATGTTGTTTATAAATAATAAACTTTGCACCAAAGAAACCCCTGACTCCGACAATCCGTGTCTCCTGCCACTGGCAGACCTGAGTGAGGCCCCAGACACTGGCAGGTGGCTGAGGTCACAGGCACAAGGATACATCCAGAACAGAAGGGCTAGATCCTTGGGTGGTTTGATAGATAAGGTGCCAGCCTCCTCTGCCAGGGGTGGTGGCTTCAAATCCTGCCAGCCCCCCTGAGCTGCTAGGCACCAACCTCCACTGTGCCAGGCTGGGGGGCAGGATAAAGGCATCAGAGAAAGGAGGGGTAGTGGGCTGGATCCTCCGGTGGCCTGACAGATACGGCTTCACTCTTTGGTGGTGGGAGTGGTGGGCTCAAATCACCCCAGCCACAGGGCACCCATCACCACCCTGCCAAGGCCGCACCAGGCTGAGGGTGGGTGGGATAAGGCATCTGGGAAAGGCGGGGTGGAGGGCTGGGTCCTCTAATGGATAAGGCTTCTATCTCTGGAGCTGGAGGGGGTGAGCTCAAATCCAGCAAGCTGCTGGTCACCACCTTCCCAGGGCTGCTGGAAGAGGTGCCAGGCTGAAGGTGGGGAGGATAAGGCCACCGCAGGTGTGGTAGGGAGGGGCGGGTCCTCTGGTGCCCTCACAGACAAAGCTTCCTGTCACACCTCACAGGTTGTGCTCCCCTCTTGGTCCCAGAGCAGGACCCCCCGTCTCTCGTGCAGCAGTGCACTCCTGGGAAGTCCAGAGGCAGTGAAGACAGCCCTTTCTCAGGGAGCCCACTCCAGTGCAGTGACCTTCTTTTGGGGTCCCCACTCTCACCAAGGGCTTCAGCGGGTGCCAAGCTGAAGGTGGGGGGGCAGAATAAGGCATCCAGGAAGTGGGCTGGGTCCCACAAGAGCTTCCAGGTACCCTGCTTCACATTCCAAGGGCTGGAGCCAGAGGGCAGGTTAAAGGTGGGTAGCATAAGGCAGCGGGTCAGTGTGTGTGTGTGCTGGATCCTCCCATGGCCTCACAGATAAGGCACCTCCCTCAGAAGTCTGGGGTGGTGTTCTTGAATCCTGGGAGCTGCCTGGCCCCAACCTCCACCCTGTCAGGAGTGTAGCAGGTGCCAGGCTGAAGGTGGGTAGAATAAGGGCATCCAGGGAAGTTGGGGTGGTGGGCTGCATTCTCTGGTGGCCTCATGAACATGCCACCTGGAGCTGGGAGTGGTGGGTTCAAATCTGACCCCAGGTCCAGAAGCTGCTGGGCACCCACCTCCATCTTCCCTAGACTCCAATGGGTGCCAGGCTGAAACTGGGCAGGATATGGCATCTGGGGGAGCAGGGTGAGATGCATGGGAACCCCCAGGAGCCAGGTCAATAGTAGGTAGAAAAAAGGCAGCTGAGCAAGGTGGCATGGTAGATCTGGTCTGCTGACAGCCTTGAAGACAAGGGGCCTACCCTTGGAACAAGGGGCGGTAAATTCAAATCCTGCCAGCCCCACATGCTGCCTGACTGCAGAGGTACCAGTCTAAAGGGCTACAGGATAAGGCATTCAGGGATGAACAGTGGCCTCACAGACAAAGCACCTGCCCCCAAAGCTGGGGGTAGAGAGTGCAAATCCCCCCAGGCCCAGGAGCTACCAGGCACCCACTTCTACCCTGCAACACCAGCAGCAGGTGCCAGGTTGGGGAACAGGGGCTGGGTCCAGTCCTCCAGTGGTCTCCCAGAAAAGGCACCTACCTGTTTCCTTTATGAAGTCAATGTGGAGATCCCTTAAACATGTTTCCAATTTTCAAGATAACTATTTTAACCAGGAGTGAGAGCCATGTATTGAATTTAAATTTAAGAATTGAAGCAGGATTTTTTTTTCAGTCATTTCTTTTGTTAAAATGGATACTGCTAATCTACAAAAAGCATCAGTAGATTTAAGTTTTAAATATGACAGTGATTTGAATGCCTCAGAAATTTCATCAGAGATTCAGTTTTAAACATCAGGGCTACGTCTAGACTGGCATGATTTTCCACAAATGCTTTTAACAGAAAAGTTTTCCATTAAAAGCATTTGCGGAAAAGAGCTCCTAGATTGGCATGGACGCTTTTCCGCAAAAGCACTTTGGCATGGATGCTTTTCTGCAAAATCTAGACGCGCTTTTGCACAAAAAAGCCCCGATCGCCATTTTCATGATCGGGGCTTTTTTGCGCAAAACAAATCTTTTTCTCTTCATGCCTCTAGGTTAGGATGCCACTTGTATATATTACACTGACATTGATAGGTTTGATGCATAGTCAGTAGGGAATGTTTCTGATATTGAAGTGTCCTTTTCTTACAGGTCAATGGCTCAAGCTCAATTTATTACCACGTACATCCATTCCTTACTATGGGCCTTTGATGGTCATCTAACACATGCTGTGTCCAACTCAACCTGGGCTGAACCAGTTGCTTTAGACCTTTCCATGTAATCATGCATCTCCTGAGTCTGAGGGTATTTTTCCTATCACTTTCCAAACATACGCAAGCCATCTTTGCTATCTGGTTGAAAGGTCCCACACAAGTCCCCTTCCGCACTTAAGCCCAGAGAAGCTATGAATAAGCTGTGACCCATGTCTGAGTGACCCATGTGTCAACCATGGAAATGTGCTAACCTTAGCTTCAGCTGATCTTGCAAATGACCTGTTACAGAATGATCTTTTGCAGATTTCATGCCTTACAGCTCTTTATTACTTCTATACTAACTACACATTAATATATTTATTAATCAATCTCAATCAACACAATACTATCATCAAAAAGATAGGCAAGAAACTTAACTTTGTCAGGTACAGAGGACTTATTAGGTTTCTCTCCAGTGTGGATTCTCCTATGTTTAATAAGGTCGGTCTTCTGCTTGTAACTTTTCCCACAGTCAGAGCAGCTGAAGGGTCTCTCTCCTGTGTGGGTTCTCTGATGCCTAACGAGATGTGCGTTTGAAGTGAATTTTTTCCCACAGTCAGAGCAGTTGAAGGGTTTCCAACCTGTGTGGATTCTCTGATGTTGAGCCAGGCGTGAGCTCTGACTGAAGCTTTTCCCACAGCTAGAACAGCTGAAGGGTTTCTCCCCTGTGTGGGTCCTCTGATGAGTAAGAAGACATGAGCGCCGATAAAAGCTTTTCCCACATGCAGAGCAGCTAAATGGTGTCTTTCCTGTGTGGAGTCTCTGATGGCTAAGGAGCTGTGATCTTCTAATGAAGCTTTTCCCACAGTCAGAGCAGCAGAAGGGTTTCTCACCTGTGTGGATTCTTTGATGATCAATGAGGCCTGAGTTATGCCTGAAACTTTTCCCACACACAGAGCAGCTAAATGGTTTCTCTCTTGCATCGGTTCGCTGATGATCAATAAGGCCTGAGTGCTGATGGGGGCCTTTATCACTGTCAGAGCTGTTACATGGCATCTCACTGGTATGTATTGCCTGATGCTGAATAAGGCCTGAGTGCCGAGTGCAGCTTTTCCTGCAGGTCGAGCACTGAAAGGATTTCTCTCTTGTGTGGTGTCTCCTGTGTCTAACAAGACCTGAGTGCCGACTGAAGCTTTTCCTGCAGGAAGAGCACTGAAAGGGTTTCTCTCCTGTGTGGACTCTCTTGTGTCTTTCAAAGCCTGAGCGCCAAGTGAAGCTCTTCCCACACTCAGGACAGATGAAGGGCTGCTTTGTTCGGTGGCTTCGCTGGGGTGCAATAACACCAGATTTGTAACGTAAGGTTTTCACACAAGCAGGACAGTCACAGATTTCCTCAGCTGGCTGCATTCCTTGATGGTCCTGTCCCTGGTTTCCCTGCTTTCTTTCTGGGCTACGCTGACTCTCAGAGGTCTCTCCCTGCTCAGGACTCTGAGAAACATGCCGTTCAGATCTTCCCAACATTTCATGTGGAGTCACTTGTTCCGGTCCTTCCTGATGAAGACTCTCCTTATTGTTCTCACTCAGCTTCCCATCACCTGCTGGGACAGAGACAGAAACCAGAGCAAAGTCATTCTCTGTGCTGAGCTGAACGGGGAACAGGAAAAGCGGGAGAAAAAACACAAACAACTGCTGTCACAGGCCCCCCATGCTTTATGAAAACCGGCTTATGAATATGAATTTTCATAAAGCATGTTCCAGACAGGCCTAACAGGATATGCAATATACCATTTTTAAAGTTACAGTCTGTTGAACTTGTATGTCCTATCTTTGTGCATGTATCACTCTTATATGTAAAGTTAAACATGTTGGCTACGTCTACACTGGCACCCTTTTCCGGAAATGCTTAAAACGGAACAGCTTTCCGTTATAAGTATTTCCGGAAAAAGCATGTCTACATTGGCAGGATGCTTTTCCGGAAAAGCACTTTTTCCAGAAAAGCGTCCATGGTCAATCTAGACGCACTTTTCCACAAAAAAGCCCCAATCATCATTTTCGCGATCGGGGCTTTTTTGCGGAAAACACTACTGTGCTGTCTACACTGGCCTTTTTCCGGAACAGTTTTCCGGAAAAGGACTTTTGCCCGAATGGGAGCAGCATAGTTTTTCAGGAAAAGCACTGATGATTTTACAGTAGATCGTCAGTGCTTTTCCGGAAATTCAAGGGGCCAGTGTAGACAGCTGGCAAGTTATTCCGGAAAAGCGGCTGATTTTCCGGAATAAGTGGCCAGTGTAGACACAGCATATAGTTGTTTGGTGTGAGCGCAGGGTGTGTGTGAGTGAAAGCCATCACAGATGCCCAAGTGATCAAGAAGTGGAAACTTTGAAGATAACAACGAAGCATGCATAGTGTCTTGAGGCTGAATTGAATTAGCAGCATTGATGAACCTTGGAGACAGGCAAAGACACCCCTCCCCCAAGAGTGAGACACAACGATAGGAAACCTGACGATCACCATCAAAGGAACACAGATTAACACCTCCTAAGGGTGGATGGCTGCAGCATGACACTGCAAAACCCATAGACTCCAATGGGAATTTTCATATATAAGAAGGGAAACTCTTGCAGGACCACAGTGCCATGGCAAGCCAAGCCTCAAAGGAGCCTCGAATCATGTTCAAAAGACCCCGACTCCTCACTCAGTCAGATTTGCCTGGCCACTAAGACTGACTTGAGGCACAACTGACTTGTAACTATGCACCATCTGTAGGACTTGTCAGTGTGTTGATTTTAATAAAGCATATGCTAAGTATTTCTCTAATGTATTCTCAATAAACACGCTGTATTGCCTCCCCCCGCCCCCGTATGCTTCTTATAAGCATAACAGAGACTGGAGCACTGTGGAGATGAACTGAAGAGTTAAATAACAGAAAGAGAGAGAGTATCAGGTTTAATGGACTTTTGGGGTTCTTTTCAGTAAAAAGTGGTTGTCAGATAAATAATAGAAAGAGAGAGAGTATCAGGTTTAATGGACTTCTGGGGTTCTTTTCAATCAAAAGTGGTTGTCAGTTTTGTCTAATAAAAGATCAGTGCCCCCACGACTGGGGATATCTGTGGGCACAATTCAGATGAGGATCTACATGACCTGAACAAAAATGGATTTTCAAATCTCAGTAAGCACTTGTGGTTAATTGACGGTATGTGCAAAAGTCTGTCGATGCAACTTCTGTCACAGCTGTAGACAAATAGAGAGTGAAAATGTGATTCAACAAATACACTAGTTTGCCCCTCTCTGCCCCATGATCTACAAGAAAACTAACGGAGAATCGCCACAGATAATATGTTCAAAGGATAAGCTGTTACAGTCCGACCAAAGGAATGGCCTGGCTAGGTGGATGGCAAAGTGACATTAGTGAGAAAATGAAATTCAGATACTGTAGCATGGTGGGAATATGCCCAAAAAGATAAACTCTGACAGTAGCTAAGAAATTGGAAAGTTTATGCCCCTATATACTCATCTTAGTTTAAATCTGATTGTACCCCATTACAGAATGAAGTGCTGGAACTGCAGCCAGGGCCATGTGATGGCTGCCCATCTGCTCCCAGGATACCAATTAGCTACTGACAATTCGCAAGTATTAATATTCTTCTTATTTGATTTCATATTAAAAGAACATTGAAAGTCATGCACCTTGTTAATTAGCCCTTGTTTAGTATTCTTGCATCACATTTTAAAAAAATATATCTTATGTCTCTATTTGTGTGCCCACAGGGGCACGCATCCAAACAAGTGAACGTAACCTCAATATTGGCACACAAGACCAAACTCACCCCGCGCTCAGATGGAAAAACTCAGAGGGAACCCTGGTTGTGACTGAGGGGAAGGGACCCAGAAGGTTTGGGTGATAACCTGGGGCAGGAGGATGTGGTGACCAGGGGCACAGAGTTGGGTAGAGGGAGAGGCTGTGGTGCCAGAGGCAGGCTGTGGCCAGGAAGTACTTACCGAGGCAGCTGCAGTCAGAGCTGTTGAAGGGTTTCCAACCTGTGTGGATACTCTGATGTCTAAGGAGATGGAATCTGCTACTGAAGCTTTTCCCACAGTCAGAGCAGCTGAAAGGTTTCTCCCCCATGTGGATTTTCTGATGTTTAATCAGGGCTGACTTCCGTCTGAAATTTTTCCCACACTGAGAGCAGCTGAATGGTTTCTCTCCTGTGTGGATTCTCTGATGTTCAATCAGGGCTGACTTCTGTCTGAAGCTTTTCCCACACTCAGAGCAGCTAAACGGCTTTTCTCCTGTGTGGATTCTCTGATGTCTAATGAGATGGAATCTGCTACTGAAGCTTTTCCCACAGTCAGAGCAGCTGAAAGGTTTCTCCCCCATGTGGATTTTCTGATGTTTAATCAGGGCTGACTTCCGTCTGAAATTTTTCCCACACTGAGAGCAGCTGAATGGTTTCTCTCCTGTGTGGATTCTCTGGTGATCATTAAGGCTTGAGTGCTGATGGGAGCTTTTCCCACTGTAAGAGCTGTTATATGGCGTCTCACTTGTATGTACTGCCTGATGTTGAATAAGGTCTGAGCGCTGACTGAAGCTTTTCCTGCAGGAAGAGCAGTGAAAAGGTTTTTGTCTTGTGTGGACTCTTCTGTGTCTATCAAGGCCTGAGCGCCAAGTGAAGCTCTTCCCACACTCAGGGCAGATGAAGGGCTGCTTTGTTCGGTGGCTCCGCTGGGGTGCAATAACTCCAGATTTGTAACGTAAGGTTTTCACACAAGCAGGAAAGTCACTGATTTTGTCAGTTGGATGCATTCCTTGATGATCCTGTCCCTGGTTTCCCTGCTGCCCCTCTGGGCTACACTGACTCCCAAAGGTCTCTCCCTGCTCAGGACTCTGAGAAACATGCCCTTCAGATCTTCCCAATAAGATTTCACATGGAGCAACTTGTTCCGGTCCTTCCTGATGAAGGCTCCCCTCATTGTTCTCACTCAGCATCCCATCACCTGCTGGGAAAGACAGAAACCAGACCAAAGTCATTCTCTGTGCTGAGCTGAACGGGCAACAGGAAAAGCAGGAGAAAACACATAAACAACTGCTGTCACAGGCCCTCCATGCTTTAAAAACTGGCTTATGAATATGAATTTTCATAAAGCATATTCCAGACAGGCCTAACAGGATATGTAATATACCATTTTAAAAGTTACAGTCTGTTGAACTTGCATGTCCTATCCTTGTACATGTATCATTCTTGTATGTAAAATTAAACATGTTAAGTATAAGTATGTTTATAGTTCTAAATGTGCTAACAAGGGCCTACAAAGTCACATGACCATACCACTTAGTACTGGAATTCATCTTGAATCTCATACTTTTCCATGGGGCTGAGGAGCACGACCTGGGGGAAGTCTATATAAGCAAAGCAATCAGGTCCTTGTCTTCAGCTGGCCTGAGAAAGTGCCTTGCCCACCATAAGAGGATGCACAGAAAGAAACCTGAAAACAAATAATTCTGAAGAATTCTGAAAAGCTGCATACCCAGGCCAGAATTAACATCAACTCTGTGACTTGGAGTATGTTACCTGAGATAAAAGTTGTTTAAGTTAAAAAAAAAAACAAAACACATGTAGCAAATTTCTTAGTGGATCAGAACTAGCTGGTGTATGTTGTTTAAATTAGTAATTTACTTTGATCTGACTGTTTCTATGTACAATCACGTAAGTCTTACTTTTTAAACTTAATGAAACCACTTTTGTTTATTATCAAGCTAAGTGTAAGTAATTATTACCTGGGGAGCAACCATTGTGTATATATAATGGTCAAATTAGTTGAAACTGTATTAAAGAATAGGATTGTCAGACACACATGAACATAATTTGTTGGGGGAAAGGCAACATGGTTTCTGTAAAGGAAAATCATGCCGTACTACTCATGTCAACATGCATGTGGACAAGGAGGATCCAGAGATTTCCAGAAAACATCTGGCAAGGCCCCTCACCAAAGGCTCTTAAAGTTAGTTATCATGAGGTAAGAGGGAATGTTCTCTTATTGTCCTCCTGTCTTTTAGCCAGTTAACAAAGGGTAGGAATAAACAATTGGTTTTCAGAAAGGAGAGAGGTAACTAGTGGTGTCCCCCTAGGGTCCACACTGGGACCAATCCTATTCAGATCCTTTTCAGAGATGTTGGAGAAAGGTGTAAACTGTGAGGCAGCAAAATCTGTAGCTAATACTAAACTGATCAAGACAGTTAAGACCAAAGCAGACTGTGAAAAAAATCAAAAGGATGTCACTAAACTAGGTGACTGGCCAAGAAAAAGGCAAATGAATTTTCATGTTGAGAAATGCAAATATAATTGGAAAGAATAATCCCAAATACACATACAAAATGATGCGGGCTAATTTAGCTATAACCACTCAAGAGAGATCTTAGAGTCACTGTGGATAATTCTCTGAAAACATCCACTCAATGTAGATCAACAGTCAAAAAAAGCAAACAATCCATCTTAGTAATATTTACAAAAGGAAAAGAGAAAAAGACGAAGAATATCTTACCACCTCTATATAAATCCATGGTAAGCTCACATTTGAATACTTCATACAGACACGGGCACCTCATCCCAAATATATATATATATATATTGGCATTGGAAAAGGTTCCAAAAAGGGCAAAATGATTAGGGGTTTGAAATGGGTGCTATATGAAGAGACATTAAAAAGAATGGGACTTTTCAGCTTAGAAAAGCGGAGACTATGGGAAGATATGATAGAGGTCTATAAAATCATGACAGGAAATGGAGAAAGTGAAGAAGAAAATGTTATTTAATTGTTCCCATAACAAAAGAACTAGGGTCATCAAATGAAATTAATAGGTAGCAGGTTTAAAAAACAAACAAAAGGAAGATTTTATTAATACAATCAAATGAAATTAATAGGTAGCAGGTTTAAAAAACAAACAAAAGGAAGATTTTCTTCATACAATGCACAATCAACCAATGGAACTCCTTGTCAGAGAGTGTTAAGACTAAAAACATAATTGGGTTCAAAACTGAAAGAGATACATTCGTGGAGGATAGGTCTATCAATGGCTATTAAGCCTCTGTTTGTCAGAGGCTGGAAGTTGGATGACAGGAAAAGGATTACTTCATGATTCCTTGTTCTGTTCACTCCCTCTGGGGCATCTGGCATTGGCCACTGTCAGCAGACAGGACACTGAGCTAGATGGTCCTTTGCTCTGACCCTGTCTGTCTGTTCTTATATTCTTATGTTACGTTCTTACCTCTTTTATGGAAAAGCAGGTGAACTTATGAGCTTTCTCTGTGTAACATTTTTACATGGTAAGAGATTCATTTGGGGGTGTTGGTCACTTTTGGGAGTTGGTTTCCTGGCTACTGAAGTCTTACAGCTGAGCCCTCCTGGAGCTGAACTGATTCAGTGTCTGCGGTGCCCTTGGCTGGGGGAGACCAATAGCTAATAGGGGAAGGCAAAAACTGCCCATAATGACCATACCTTGTCAGCAAGCCAACAAGGCTCAAATTTTGCCCCTCCAATCCAGAAAAAAAGGTAAAAGAGAGTCAAACTTGAGAGTAAAAGGGAATAATTTGACCCCAAACAAAACAAAAAAACGCCCCTCCAATCCAGAAAAAAAGGTAAAAGAGAGATTCAAACTTGAGAGTAATAATTTGACCCCAAGCAAAACAAAAAAAACTGCGTATACACAGTGCTGAAATCTGAAGAGAGAAACAAGAGGGTCTGGCTTGTATGCATGATACCCCATCTTTTAATTAACCCCAACTCCAAAAATGTAAGTAAATTTAAACCTATGCAAAGATTTCGAAAGGATATTAACACACACTGTCCTTAAAAGTAAATTGTCCAAATAAAAGGTATGGTATATAACAAGCTATTTATAAACACCTACTTTTGATTTGATGCTAATCTTACTATTTAACACTGGAATAAATATAATGTTAATAAGTGATCCTGGATCAATGTATATGATTCTCTTTTGGGGAAAAAAAAAAATCTTTTAAGCATGCTAGAATGGTAATTGAGAAACACCTAATGCTAAGGAAAGAAAAAAATATTTCACCCTAAACCTTTAAAGAAGCCATTAAAACCTGGCCTGGCTATGGAACAAAAACATAGGTACACAAGTATGAGGATAATTCCAGGAAAAGCAGAGGAATCAACAAGGATATTTATAAAAGAAAGGAGTATTTTAAGCAATAATGTGCCACCCCCCCCCCAAAGGGACAGGAAAATGTTCTTTTTGTCTATCAGATCATCAGAAAGAACTGGTACCAGTTGAAAAACAACCTAAAATACCATGGATCTAATGTTGCAACAAAAACTGTGTTTGTTTTAAGGTATTTGTCTCATTGCTAGCACTGTTGTGTATTGTGTTAAAAACAACACTGCATTAGGCAGAGAAGGAATAATACGCATTTTGGAATGTATTTACAAGAATCAGTGTCTCAGAAGGGCAATTGTCAAGAAATGCCAGTCTTTATAATAGGAAGACATGCAAGGGTGATAAAGGCACATGTAAAGGCAAAACATGCATGAAGCACAAGGTTAAAGGAGTAAAGAAAAGTATAAACATGTGGAAACATTCGTTACTTAGAAGAATTGGTGTTAACTGGACTGTTTAAAATCAACTCCCAGCTTGCAAGCCCAGCTAAATGCACCTGGATAGTGTATAAAATTGGACGTTAGAAGAGGAAGGCTATTAGAACACCTTCCTTAATTACTGGTAGGGATACTACAGTAAAGGACCCATGAAGGCATAACTCAATTAAAGGTTATTAAATTTGTTTGGCAGCCAGGAGCAGCAGCCAGAAAAAGTGAAAAGAAAGGGTTCCAGGAAGTACATTGGAAACTGTTTTAGGTAAAACTAGACGAGTTGATAGTGCTGGATAGAGATATTAAAAAACAAGTTAAGCCATGTTACAGCTAAAATGCAAGAATTGGGAAAGCCCATCAGTATACAATTGTCAAATAAGGAATGAAACAACTATTATTTTCTGAAGTATTGCCAGTTTGGCAATTGCAAGAAGAAAAAAGTATAAAAGTTTTTGTGGGAAAAAAAAGTTACAGAAGGGGGAAAATAATTAATGGCATGGTTTAAAAAAATAAAATAAAATAAAATAAACTCTACTTTAAATAAAGATCAAATGGTTTCATAAGTAATTGTTCACCCCAGTCTAAGTATTACTATCTGTCCATTAGTACCTGTGGGAATTCAGTTGTTAAACAATAGGTGTTTGGCCAATCAGGTAGCATAACTAAGGTACACAATGATAAAAGAAGCTGTGCCTGCATTGCTGAATTAGAATCCATTGTATGACAAAATGGGTATTTCTTTAACCCCCGTTTAGCAATATATGTGTAATGTGATCACATTCAGCAGAACTGAACTTGTATATTGTCCAGTACAAAAGGATAAATATGTCAGTATATTGGCTGATGATGTTATTAATGTTGGTTTATTGTTAGGAGTTGAACAGTGCTATATAATGGGATTTATAAAAACAAACAAACAAATTAGCCAACTAACTAATGCAGGTTTGGCAGGTTTTACATCAAGGGTGCGAAATCTGCAACATTTCAAATGAAGCTAAATAAATAAGTATACATCAATGGGATGGTATTGTTCAGGAATCCGCAGTTCTAAATATAGCTATCCCATCAGTGTTTCATTGGCAGTGTTGATTGTTATGTTGGTTCTAATGTGTTGTACGTGCTGTTGCATGAAAAAAAACCTGTATCTCACATTGAAGACATCAGCTCAAATCATGACTCAGCACATAGTCTTGAAGCAATTAGAGAATTTAAATGGTGACCACTCATGAATTGTTTCTGGGGGGTCAAAATGGGGACAATGGTTTTTATAATGTTTTATGTAATGTGCGTAATGAGTAGTGTGACAATGAATGTTAAGCAACTATAATTCTGCTAGCTGCAGACTGTGTGTGTGTTTGTCTTTATAAAGTATATGGTAACTTTTTTCCTACTGTATTCTCAGTGTGTGTTTGTCTTTATAAAGCATATGGTAACTTTCTTCCTACTGTATTCTCAATAAATACAGCATATTACCTTTTCCCCTGAAAAAGATCCTGTGAGCTTCTGATAAGCATCACACTGTGAAACAGGGACAAAGAATAATAGCTACTGCAGAGCCAGGGGACTGAGGCATAGACAGTTTAAGTAACTTGCCCAGGATCTCACAGGAAGTCTGTGTCAGGGCAGGGAATTAACTGTAAGTATCCCAACACCAAATACAATGCCTGAAATGCAAGAAGAGCTCTCCTCACTTTTATTTAGTATGCAGATAACCCCAAGCAATACCTGAAATGCAAGAAGAGCTCTCCTCACTTTTATCTAGTACGCAGCTAACCCCACAGAAAGCTCGCAGGACGTGAACTCTCTCATCCACCCTCCCTCAGCCCCAGCCTCTCTCACTGGCATGGCCCAGCATGTCACACAGATAAGCCACAGCCAGAAAGGACTCCGGAAATAGCACCCTCCTTCCACGGTCTCAGCCCACTGGCACAAGGGATACAGCACTTGTGCTAACAGCAGCCAGGCCGAGCCCCATACCACTGGAACCTGCCATTCCTGCCTTGGCCCTTCCACTGACAGAATAGGCCGAGCCCCATACCACTGGAACCTGCCATTCCTGTCTTGGCCCTTCCACTGACAGAACATGGGGAAAGATGGTGGGGAAGTACATTGAGACCTTAGCTATGGGAAGAGCAGCATTGTTATGTCCCTGAATGGGCTGCCTCTGAGAGGGGGCGTCGAGGGGACAGACTCTCACACAGGAGCCTTGATTATTGGGGCTGATACTCCTGACAGTGGGAGCAGGGGGCAATGAGGGACCCTGAACCAGACCCACAT